TGTTGTTTGGTGGGCCCAGGCTGGATTCAAACCCGCCACCTGAGGTGGGTGTGGCTGGCGCCTTAGCCGCTTGAGCCACAGGGACCGAGCCAGAAAAATTTTTAAGTAATTAACAAAAAGGAAAACAGCAGATCAAGTTCTTTTAAAATCAAATTGTCCTTATTTTTGAAATTATTTTCACTATAGTTATAAAGAAATTTAATTCCACAAACCTAGAAATGGGAGAAATGAGATCACTTCTAACCTCCCAAAACTCAAGCACTGCTACATTACACAGCCATTACCAACAACAGAACAGACAGAAGGAAGGAATTAGATGTATCCTCAATGAGTTAAGCCCATTTTCCTGTAAGGATATTTACTTAAACCAAAAAAATAGGCACAGGAAAATAAACTTAAAAATTCATACCTCGACTTCATCTCCTTCACTGATTTCTTTTTTTATATCAGGTGGTGGTGGTAATCTAACTTCATTAAATGGAACCTGGCGTTCTGGCTGCCAACTGAAGGATTAGAAAAAAAATAACAATTTTAAATTACGTCATTTTGATAGTCTCTAATATGAAATATATACTCTATCCTTATTGCTAAACATTTCTCAAGTTAATTTAACTTTCTCTAAAGAAATAAAAAACAACTTTTATACTACATATTTTCCCAATTATTGAGAGAGAATAGATTTTGAATGATTCTTGATCAAGTTTGCAAATAACTAACATCATTGATAATTATGTACTATCAACTAAATTATTCTAAGAACCGAATGTAGATAATTTTGCAAATGAAATAGACTTAAGTTCACAAAGATGACTTAGATTTGAAATAATGTCACACCAACACAGCTGACAAATAGGACTAAGTTCAACTTATTTCAAACAGTTTTATAATGATATGACTTATCCAAAAAGGAATACAATCTTACCGATTACAAAACAATATAAACTTGCATAATTTTTTTAGCATACATGTTCACAGAAATACAAAAAAAATAATTGGCAATTATTCTGAATAGCTGAATTACAGATTTATTTTCTCACATTCTATTCATCTTTTCTGCTATGGGCACAAATACTGTAATTAAACCTAGAAAAATGCTGGGTGCGGTGGCTTATGCCTATAATCCTAGCACTCTGGAAGGCTGAGGTAGGTGGATTGCCTGAATTCAGGTTTGAGACCAGCCTGAGGAAGAGTGGGACCACCATCTCTAAATGTGTTGTGGAGGGCGCCTGTAGTCCCACCTACTTGGGAGGCTAAGGCAAGAGAATAAGTTGAGCCCAAGAGTTTGAGGTTGTTATGAGGTGTGACTCCACGGCACTCTACCCAGGGCAACAGCTTCAAACTCTGTCTCCAAAAAATAAAAAATTAAAAAAAAATTTTAAAAACTTACATGATAAACTACTAATTAAATAGTAATTTAACTGGCATTTGTGTTGTATTTTTAAGCTGAATTTATACTTAAAAATTACTCATTACTGGCTTGGCACCTGTACCTCAAGCACTAAAGCGCTGGCCACATAAACCAGAGCTGACAGGTTCTAATCCAGCCGGGGCCTGCCAAACAATGACAGCTGCAACCAAAAAATGCCTGGGCACTGTGACGGGCACATGTAGTCCCAACTACTTGGGAGGCTGAGGCAAGAGAAGTGCTTAAGCCCCGGAGTTGGAGGTTACTGTGCGCTGTGATGCCACAGCACTCTACCCAGGGCCAACAGCATTGAGGCTGTCTCAAAAAAAAAAAAAAATTCCTCATTACTTTTAAATTCCCAAAGGTCATGTGTTATGCCTGGGAGATACACTAGCACATAAAATACTAAGTTTTTATACAAATACTGGGCATAGTAGCAGTTACAAGTACAGATTTTAGGGTGCTTTCATTTCACTGTAACCATCTAAATGGCAGCTCCTCAAGGACACAAATCATCTCAACACTTATTTCTACATGAAGCAGCTGCTGGGCAAAGATCTTTTCAGGCAGTTCCAGAAGTAGTTTAAAAGTGGACAGTGAACAGTTCTTTTCTGACCTTTAATTTTAACAGGACTTTTATAACCCTTCGTAACCACACACCACACTGTCTTTCCTATTTTTAGACCATATAACCCTTACAGTATCTATACAATTGATAACTAGTCCTTACTAATATCAACCAATTAAAGGTCTAATATTTTATTCTGATTACCAGTGGCGACCTGGAAAGCCTACAAACATCATCTCAACATTCTGGGCTTTTAAGAATTAAGCTTTTTTTTTTTTTTTGGAGACAGAGCCTCAAGCTGTCCCCCTGGGTAGAGTGCCGTGGCATCACGCTCACAGCAACCTCCAACTCCTGGGCTCAAGCGAGTCTCCTGCCTCCGCCTCCCAAGTAGCTGGGACCACAGGTGCCCGCCACAACGCCCGGCTTTTTTTTTTTGGTTGCAGCCATCATTGTTGTTTGGCGGGTCCGGGCTGGGGATTCGAACCCGCCACCTTAGGTGTACGTGGCTGGCTCCTTAGCCGGTTGAGCTATAGGCGCCGAGCCCAAGAATTAAGCATATTATAAACTCACTTGAAGGATGTATCTTTGCAAAACTATGATACTTACTGATTCACGTCCATACATGTTCTAGCAAAGTGGGTTATGAAAAAGTGACAATTGTGGACAGAAAACCAGGTAAAAGTTATCAAAAGCAGACTTACCTGAAATCTCAAGAAGATCAAACAACCAAAGCACACTTCCCCACCAAAGTGAAATCATTTTCCCACTGGTAGCAGGAACACCAAAGAGCAAATAGTTTGATACTACCCACATCTAAAGTTAAGATCTGCAAATAAAAATAAAATAACTTACTTATTTTCAAAAACAACTGTGAGGGAGTCTTCATGAACATCTTTAATAAATCCCTGCAAGACAAAAAACCATTATTAAAAGTGTATCAATATTAAATGGTTCAGCACCTATAGCATAGCAAAGTGGTTAGGGCGCTGGCCACATACCCAGAGGCTGGTAGGTTCGGCTAAACAATAACAACTGCAACCAAAAAATAGCCAGGCATTGTAGTGGGCACCTATAGTCTTAGCCACTTGAGAGGCTGAGGCAAGAGAATTGCTTTAAAAGCCAAGGAGTTTGAGATTACTGTGAGCTGTGACACTCTATCCATGGCAACATAGTGAGACTCTGTCTCAAAAAAAATTAATTAATTAATTAATTAATTAAATGTTATTGGCTCGGCACTTGTAGCACAGTGGTTCCGGTGACAGCCATATTCACTGAGAGTGGTGGGTTCAAACCCAGCACCAGCCTACTAAACAATGACAACTACAACAAAAAACAGCCAGGTGTTGTGGTGGGCACCTGTAGTCCCAGCTACTTGGGAGGCTGAGGCAAGAGAATCGCTTAAGCCCAAGAATTTGAAGTTGCTGTAAGCTGTAAGGCCAAGGCAGTCTATCGAGGGCAACATAGTGAGTCTCTGTCTCAAAAAAAAAAAAAAAAAAGAAAGAAAAAAACCAAAAGAAAAAGAAGAATTAGGCAAATCTGCATTTAATTTCTATCTCTACCATTCATGAGCTACAAGGTCTTTTAGTTACTTAGCCTCTCTGAATCTCATTTTCCACAGAGTATCATCTACCTTGAAAGTACAAAAGTAAACGTACATCCCTGGAACACTAGATAAATAAGGCAGTATTTGGTACAGTGACTAAGAGTTCAGTATTCAGTACTGTGACTAAGAGTCCAAGCTCTCAAGACTAGACAGCAGGATTCATATCCCAGCTCCATCACTTGTATTCTGAGCATACTTTTAACCTAACGGAGTTACTTAATAATTATGGCATCACACCACACATACCATATAGTAATCAATATAGAAAATCACTGTTGAGGCTCGGCACCTGTGGCTCAAGTGGCTAAGGCGCCAGCCACATACACCTAAGGTGGCGGGTTCGAATCCAGCCCAGACCCACCAAACAACG